TCGTTCCTGGATGAATCAGAAGGTACATTCGCTGCCTCAATTAAAGGGAAACATTTCTTAAAATGTAAAGAATTGAAGTTCTCTCTTCAGTGTTTGCTGTTTTCAATTTCACCCAAATTAATGAATGCAAGGAATAATTGTTTACTTCTAAGCTGTAATTGATTGTAATTTTTATTTTAAGTAATATTTCAGAAATAAACATTAATGGATTAAGCATAAAACTGCAACAAAATACACCCAATAACAAAATGACATAACTTGTACTTGACAGTTTCCCAAGTAAATTCCATCGGCTGTGCATCTTTCCTATTCCTTAAATCAGTTTTATCAGTCAAGTCTGTTTTTCCCCCAGTCCATATATACTTTTTACAAACTGAAGTACTGTGCAACAAGGTATATATTTCTGGTGAAGAAAACTACTTTCACAAAATGTGAAGACATTTCAGCCATTCTGCAGTTTTTTTTTAACATTTTGGTTTTTGCTTGTTTTACAAAATCTACATGTACATCATCATCATCAAACTTGTAAACATCATGCATTTGCTGTTAAAAGGATTGATGAAATGCTTAAATTCTTGTCTAAAAGAATGTATTACAAAAGTGAAAAGGACAAGTTTTCTAAGAACAAGTTCTACGTCCCCTTAAACACTTCCTCCTTTTTAGTGGCAGGAGCTAATAGTGGCCGAGGAAATATCAGAAAAGAAGGAGAAAAGATAGCTAAGGATTGCCGCAGTGTTAAGGAAAGGTGCTTTGGTGGCACAGAAAAAACTCAGCTGAGCATGAAAGAGAAAAAACTGGCTTGCAAGTCTAGTGCTACAAAGTTCTTACAAACAGCACAACAGAGGCACACAAAATTGATGTGAAAAGTTAGCCTCTCTCCTATTCATTATTAATTGGCAGGTGGGGGGGCGGTGCAGCCAGAAGGGGAAATGGTCACTTTGGTGAAAAACTGGTCACTGAACTACTGAAATGTCACTCAAATAAGGATCCCTTTGGTAAGTTTTCTGTCCAGCCCTCTGCCCAACATATACAAGTCTTTTTTTTTCCTTAACAGGACTTCCATGTAGACACAACAGTAGTGAAAGATCAGATTGTCGATTGTCCCGGTGACGATATCAGTATAAAACAGAAATTCTAGGAGGAGGCTTCAGCTTCATGCGGCACTTGTTCTTTACCATATGCAGGGGAATTTCCACTTCCTTTGGTTTCACAGAAGCACTCGCATCCCGCACCTAGAAGAATTGAAGTTCAGAGCTAACTACAAGATAAGAGTCGTTTGTCTGCAGCAGAGTCTAGAACGTGACCAAAGGGTCTAGACCAAAGAGTCTAGAACATGCCTTGCACAAATCATCCTCAGGATTACCTACCATCTTTCCAAGAGTAACTTTTGTAGATCCCTCCTCTTTCAAAATGCAAAACCGCACAATGAGGTTCAATTAGCTTGCATTTATCCCTTGTTACTTTTACTTTTCCTTCTCCTCCTTCGTTCTTGTGTTCCCACCAACTGTCCAAACATATGACTTTCCCCTTATATCTCAACAACAAAAAGATTTACTTTCTTTTAAAAAATGAAAACTGGAAATTCAGATAACCTGATAGGCATATTGCTATATCATTATTATAGCATAAGAGTAAAAGGTTGCTGAACTCGAAAGCCAGTCGAATCCGACTCTAGGGTTGCGGTGCTCATCTCCGTTTCAAAGCCGAAGAGCCAGCGCTGTCCGAAGACGTTTCCGTGGTCATGTGGCCGGCATGACTAAACACCAAGGCGCACGGAACGCTGTTACCTTCCCACCGAAGTGGTCCCTATTTATCTACTTGCAATTTCTTGCTTTCGAACTGCTAGGTTGGCAGGAGCTGGAACTAGAGACAGGAGCTCACCCTGTCTTGCGGCACCCGGGTCTTGAACCGCTGAACTACTGACCTTCCACAGCCTGCAGTTCAGCGTCTTAACCACTTGAGCCACCGCAGCATAAGAGTACTCAATTGCTGAATTCTTGGGAAAAGCAACCCTGAGCAGGCTCCTGGTGTTGTACAAGATGAGTAGGGATATACTGCAGGGCACTGGGAAAAGGAAAAACCCTACCAGTATGAAAGCACCCACTACCCCTGCACTGTGTCTTCAGCCACAGTGCCAGTGGGGAAACTACATAATCTCTGCGTGGAAAACACCATAGATTGTAAACTCCTCAGGGCAAGGACCTCTCCTTTGCTAGTGTTACTCGATAGGCAGCCATATCTGCCTATGTAAATAAACAGCAATCTATGTTCAGCTATTCAGATTTTTTCAGGTTTTATAGTTTTGTTCATCTGTTCACAAGGAGGCAGAAAGGGGGGGGGGAATCTAACAAACTCAAGTTGCCATCAGAGTATCAACCATGCCTATCAAACCAATGCAGCATCAGAGCATGATTAAAGCTCACTGCCTTGCATTCTCCCAGGACTGGTTCCTGCTCCGGTAAATAATAAGACGGTTGCGTTAAAAAAAGGGAGGGGAGGAATCCATGAAATGAATTTTGTTGTCCTTTAAACATGTCAAATAACTTTGTTGGACGTGTCTCCCACAGCTGCCTTCCATGAAACGAACAGTCTTGCTCTGGGGAAGGAATTTTTCCTCCAGACGCAGAAGAAGATTCCTCAGCAAAAGAGAGTCATCAAATCCAACCCTTTATTGCTATCTGCCAAACATTCAGTTCATTTAAATTCAGAAATATCCCCCCCCCAACTATTTTGCAAAAAGCAGACATCAGTATGGATCCAAACTATACGTTTTGTGGATGGGAGGGGGGATTTGTGCCAATTCTCCACTATTGCAGCTGGTCACCCCCCCAAGCTATTCTTGGGAGCCCCCCGTCCCCCAGGAGTAGCATTGGGGGTATTTGGGGCTGCAATAGGAAGGGAGAGACAGGGGATTGATGCTCTACAGACAGAAAACTTGCTGCTCCTGGAAATGTTAGGCAAGATCTGAGCCATTAAGTTTCCATCTTTCTGATCATGCTCATTTCTAAATACCCTGGCTGTATTAAAATGGGGTATCTGAAGCCACATTACATAAGAACATAAGAGACGCCAATGTTGGATCAGGCCAAAGGTGCCATCAGGAGGTCCACCAGTGGGTCCAGGACATTAGAAGCCCTCCCACTGTTGACCCCCCCAAGCACCAAGAAGACAGAGCATCACTTGCCCCAGAGTCCCTATCTATACCTTGTGGCTAATAGCCACTGATGGACCTCTGCTCCATATGCTTATCTAATTCCCTTTTAAAGCCGTCCATGCTTGTAGCCGCCACCACTTCCTGTGGCAGTGAATTCCATGTGTTAATCACTCTTTGGGTGAAGAAGTACTTCCTTTTATCCGTTCTAACCCGACCGCTCAGCAATTTCATTTGGTGCCCACGAGTTCTTGTATTGTGAGAAAGGGAGAAAAGTACCTCTTTCTCTACCTGCTCTGTCCCATGCATAATCTTATAAACCTCAATCATGTCACCCCTCAGTCGTCGTTTCTCCAAGCTAAAGAGCCCTAAGCACTTTAACCTTTCCTCATAGGGAAAGTGTTCCAACCCTTTTATCATTCGAGTTGCCCTTTTCTGCACTTCTTCCAATGCTAGAATATCCTTTTTAAGGTGTGGTGACCAGAACTGCACACAGTATTCCAAATGAGGTTGCACCATTTATTTATATAGGGGCATTATATTGGCTGATCTGTTTTCAGTTCCCTTCCTAATAATCCCCAGCATAGCATTGGCCTTCTTTATTGCAGTCACACTGTCTCGACATTTTCAGTGAGTTATCTACTACAACGCCAAGATCTCTCTCTTGATCAGTCTCTGCCAGTTCAGACCCCATCAATGTGTATTTATATTTAGGATTTTTGGCTCCAATGTGCATCACCTTGCACTTGGCCACATTGAACCCCATTTGCCATGTTGACACCCACTCGCCCATCCTTGACAGATCCCCTTGGAGTGCCTCACAATCCTCACTGGTTTTCACCACCCTGAACAACTTTGTATCATCCGCAAATTTAGCCACTTCACTGCTTACTCCCAACTCCAAATCATTAATGAACAAGTTAAAAAGCAGTGGACCAAGTACTGATCCCTGCGGTACCCCACTGCTTACCACCCTCCACTGAGAAAATTGCCCACCTACACTCACTCTCTGTTTTCTATGAACTAGCCAGTTTTTGATCCATAAAAGGACTTGTCCTTCTATCCCATGATTTTTGAGCTTACTTAGGAGCCTTTGATGAGGAACTTTATCAAAAGCTTTCTGCAGGAATGGAGGCTGATTTTAAGGAAAGACTACATATTTTTGTAAGGAGATCCACAAGTTCACATTTGAGTTCTTTCAGAACTCTGAGATGTATGCCATCTGGGCCTGGTGATTTCTCAGTTTTTAAGTTGTCTATCAGTTTTAGGACCTCCTCTCTCGCCACCTCAATCTGACTTAGATTGCAAGATGACACATTGCAAGATCTCTTTGAGACCATTCAAAATGCTGCTGTTATTTTCTTGCAAGAATGTCAGATGAGCAACGGGTCATCTGTGTACTTTGACAGGACATTCCTTTTTCTTAATTTGTAATTTCAGAGCATCCGCTGTCAAGGGATGCTCCTCTCTCATCACCTACTTTTGCTCCTCTCTCATCACCTTTTGAAGATTTTGCTTTACTCTTGACATGTTGACCCAATACAGAGCTCAGAAATGTCAACAGGGTTGCCAGTTTTGTCTTAGATAATTCCTGGAGATTTGGGAACGATGGCCAGGGAGGGTGGAGCTGGGGGGAGGGGTCGCCAGGAATGTGGTATAAGACTTGTGTTTCTCCTAAATTCTTTGGTATACCATAGAGTTCACTCTTCAAAGATGCCATTTTCTCTAGGGGAAATGATCTCTCTAATGCAATTTTTGAGAACCTTCTTATTGTTAAGAAAGCCTTGGGGGGGGGGGACCACCCAAAACAGACCCAAGCACAGCTCATCATGTTCTTTTTTAGCCTTACCCTTTCCACCTCACGGAAGACACGCAGGAAGTTCTCTCTCAAAATACCTCGCACTTCCTCCTCATTCCAGCCTTTGTCCAGCAGTTTTTGGATCAATGTTGGGTATTTGGAAATATCCTCCAGTCCTTCAGAGGGTCTGTTAGTAAGGAAATCAGAGAATGATTCGCCACAAGTCTCATCCCATTTGTCCTGTAGTTGTAGAGAGGGAGGCTACCATGAGGCTCCAGAGCAAAGGCTAAATGAGGGTCAATTCACACGTTACAAAGTCAACTTAGTAATTTGTTAGCTGATGCAGTCTGGGAGTTCCATGTTCAGACTGTAGTTCCCAGTTCTTCATAGGCTCATTTGAGAAATGTATATGTACATAGAAGTTTTTGTTGGAAGGTTACTGGTTCTGGTGGTCCAGATCCTTCTTTAGTTAGTTAGCAGAGTGCACAAGGCTTTAACACCAGTAGTGCTTAGTCCCATACCTGCCACGTGCTTGCAAGTTTACAAAGTCACACAGAGCCATGTTTCCGTTTAAATGAAACTAATAACTACTTTATTCTAGAAATACAGACTTGTTAGTGCAGAGTAGAGAAGTAGAGACAGTTCCTAGGCTAGCTAGCTAGCAGATGGATGCACATGCTGAGAGGAGCATCCTGCATCTCAATCTTGTGCGCATGGAAGAGAGAGAGAAGAGAGAGGAGATGGAAGGAAGTTCCCTTTCCCTAAGGGGTCTTGATCTACACTTCAAAGGGAGTCTGTGACAGTAAACAGGAAGATGCTTAGTGTTTGCCTATCTGCCTGCAACTCTCTGTGGTACTTCCAGTAGCTTCCCCACAGCAGATATCCAAAGCCATTTCGGAGCAGAAAAGGGGGGGGGGGCTTATGCTCCTTTTTCTCCCGTGCCAATATTCTGATCCAAACTGAGCCTGCACACCCATGGAATCTGAGCACAAAACTCCCAGAAAACATCTGATCGACAGGACCTGCAACAGCCTCATGAGGGACACATGGATTTTGTCAGGGCTTTTTTTGTAGAAAGAGCCCAGCAGGAACTAATTAGCATAATAGGCCACACCCAACAGCATAAACTCATTAGCATATTAGGCCATACCCTCTGATGCCACATTTCATTAGCATATTAGCTCACACCCCCATGCCTTCCCTTGGCTGCGGGGAGCCCAGGCAAGCTGGCCTTTGGACAGGCTGGGGAAGGCACAGGGAGGGCTCCCCTGGCCTGCTCGCCTCAGAATGGCCGGGGGGGGGGAGTTGCTCTCCAGGCCTTCCCTCTGTAGCCACACACTCAGAGGTTTTGGCTGTGGTGGGCGTGGCCAACTCTGCAGCCAGCCGGAACTCCGTTCCTGTGCATGCCCAAAAATAGCCCTGGATTTTGTAATGTGTGAATCAATCAGCCCTCTGAAGCCACAGGGGTGGGGAGATGACAACTTACTTCTAGAGACAGATCCCTTCTACACTGCATGACTCTAGAATTTTTAGTGTCATCACTACTTATCTTGTTCCATGGGGCACACAAGAGCTGCAGAAGTTCTTCCAGCACCTCAGGGGCCATTTGGCTCAGATCCTTCCTCAACAATGGTTCTGGGTGCTGCCCCCTCACCAGCTGTCTCATCCTGCACTGTTGCCAGTTTGCAGGAGAAAGCGGGGGGGGGGGGGTGGGACAAATGCTTATTAGAGACAGATCCCTTCTACACTGCATGACTCTAATATTTTTAGTGTCATCACTACTTGTCTTGTTCCATGGGGCACGCAAGAGCTGCAGACGTTCTTCCAGAACCTCAGGGGCCATTTGACTCCGATCCTTCCTCAACAATGGTTGTGGGTGCTGCCCCCTCACCAGCTGTCTCATCCTGCACTGTTGCCAGTTTGCAGGAGAAAGCGGTGTGTGTGTGTGTGAACCATTGCTTATTGTTGGCACTGCTGAGGTGAGTGGCCGCTGAAGTCCTGTCTTGTAGAGGCTACTCCACTGGATTTTCTTCAGGACTGTTTTCAGTCCCCAGTTCAGTCATGGGTTTGACCCACCCATGTACCCACATTCACTGCCATTAAAGCAGTTATTTGAGGAAGAAACTGTGTTGGCAAGAGAAGGCCAAGAAAGGGGGTGGGATTAGAAGAGTGGAGTCCATTTTTTTCCAGAGGACTTTTTGCCAATTACTGCCCAGTGTCTAGTCTACCTTTTCCAGGGAAGGTAATTGAATGAGCAGTGGCCAAGCAGCTCCAGGTTTTTCTGGATGAGGCGTCTACCTTGGGCCCTTTTCAATTGAGCTTCAGGCCTGGCTTTGGGACAGAGACTGCACCGGTTGCTTTGGTTGATGATCTCCATTTACATCTGGGAAAAAGGCATGCTGGCCTTGTTGACCTTTTTGGATCTATCAGTGGCCTTTGATACAGTTGGCCATTTGATACAGTTGACCAATCTTGCCAAGATCATCTGGAGATTTGGAGGTGGGTGCCATTGATCTGCTGATGACATTCAGCTCTTCCTCCTGTCAGATAAGCAGCTGGCAGCAGGGCTCTTGGCACTATCCCCGTCCCTGGATATGGTAGCCCATTGGTTAAGGGGGAGCTGGCTGAAGTTGAATCCATCCAAGATGGAGGTCATGTGGCTGGGAAAGACTTAGATGCTAGCTGGAGGATTACTCCCGAGACTCAATGGTGTCCAGTTGACAGCTGTAGACTCTGTAAAGAGCCTCGGGTGTGGTTGGATTCTGCACTCAAGTGTCCATGGTAGCATGGTCAGCGTCTTTTCACCTATGCCAGGCCTGAAAGCTGGCTCCTTATTTGTCTGGGTCAGATCTTGCCACATTGATCCATGCAGCAGTCACCTCCAGATTGGACTACTACAATTTGCTCTATGTAGGGCTACTCTTAAAAAACACCTCAGAAACTGCAGGTGGTCCAGCATGCAGCTGCCAGGTTGCTGACTGGAACATCATGGTCAACTCATATTACTCCAGTTCTGCAGCAGCTGCAATGGGTACCAATTAGTCTCCAGATCCAATTCAAGGTGTTGGTGCTAACCATTAAAGTCCTTAAAAGTCTGGGACTCCTATACCTTGGGACCGCCTCTCCCATTACAACCCCCAGGCTCCCTTCCGTCATTGGTCAGAGGCCTCCTGCAGGTGCCTGGCCCCAGGATGGCTCAGTTAGCTGTCACCAGGAGAAGGGCCTGCTCAGTTGTGGCCCCGACCCTGTAGAATGCCAGACTCGTTCAGTTTCCACAGGGCATGCAAAGCTGCATCGCTTAGGTTGGCTTTTGGAGGGTAACCACATGTTTGGGCTGTATTAATGGTGGTATGGTAATAGCCATGTATTTTAATATTTTAATGTTCATATTTTATATTTATTTGTTTTTATGTTGTTTTTACATTGGTTTTAATGTTGTAAGTCACCATGAGAGCCTTAAGGTGAGTGTGGGGGGGAAATCTAATAAATAAATAAATGAGTTTCCCAGTTTGGGGGGGAACGGAAATTTTAATAAAACACTGGGGGGGGGATCTTCTGATTAAATGTTTTCTCTCTTAAAACGAGGAGTAAAAAAGGCAAGGTTTAAAAATATTACTTTAGTTGCCCTTCGTTCTGCCAAAACGTTTGCTAATGACTCTGTGTGCCATTCTACAGTGTTTGATAATTACCATTGGGATGGCAATTACCGACCCTCTTGTCTGGTTCAGATTCCTCAATCTGCTGCCGCATGAGAAGGAAATTGGTCTGTGTTTGGGAATATACACAAATCCAGGCGCGTGCTAACATTTTAAAGAGCACTGGAATTTGTTTCAGCGTGTGCAGTCCTTTAAAGTTGAGGAAGATAAAAATAGAAATGCAGAACTGGATGTTAATGATCTGTTAGAAACTGATTCTGGCTAAGGAAAGAAACTTACTTTTAAAGCGTGCATCGTCTTTCACACATTTGTTGGTTTTAAATTCACAGTTGTTTTGAGCCAAACTATTGTTAAAAAGTGACACTTGTAAGGGGGTTGGGGTCCTGGCCCTCCCTTCCTTTCCCTTATCACAGAAGAATCAGGGGTTTTGGTAACAGCTGCTTCCTCCTCCTTTCTCTGATCCTTTCTGCACAGCCTGGAGAGGGTAGCCAGAGAACTCTTCACTGGTCTCCTCCCAGATCCTTTTAAGGTCAGTGCTACAAGTTACATGTACCCCCTTGCTGCCTCTTTAAAGAGCCAGTTTGGTGGAGTGGTTAAGAGCATGGACTCTAATCTGGGAGAACTGGGTTTGATTCGCCACTCCTCCACATGCAGCTGCTGGTGTGACCTTGGGTCAGTCACAAGGGCAGTTCTTGAAAGAGCTCTCTCAGCCCTACCTACCTCAAAGGGTGTCTATTGTGGGGAGGGGGAGGGAAAGGGTTTGTAAGCCACTCTGAGACTCCTTTGGGTAGAGAAGGGCAAGGTATAAATCCAGTCTCTTCTTCTTCTTCCCTACCTCTTGTGAGGAAGATGAAAGTTGGGGAGTTAACTTGGTGGCCAGTGCTGCTGCCCCCCCCCCCAGGATCCGCCTAGCTAAGCCCTCCTGGAAATTGCCAGTTGGCTGGAAGGTGGGTGGTAGCCTGTGTTCCCTCTAAGCTGTGGAGTCCTGTGAGCAAAAATTCTACTTCGTGAGCTGCTGTCATTAAAGTTGTGAGGGAGCGATTTGGCTGCTGCATAAATTCGTTTGCTCTGGAGCTAAGACAAAAATATGCGAGCTGGGGGCTAAAAAACTGTGACCTAGCTCACAGTAACTCAGCTTAGAGGGAACACTGGTGGTAGCTCTTTAAAGGGGCAGAGTCCTGTGGTGATCATTCCCTCACCCCATGATCATTCTCCGTCTTGGACCCTTCCACCTGCACACACTTACTGTAACTACTATTTTTACCCACACCAGATCTCATATAAGGTCAATGAGCAAAGAAATGAAGAACAATTCTAAATCACTACTGACTGAAGCACTCCATCGAAGCTACCACTAAGTCCTATATTTTCTGAGCCCGCAACATTCCGGATGTAGTCCAGATTTTCTAAGGAACAAAACAGAATGAATGAATACATGGCAGAGAAAGGGTATCATGATTCAGAAAGACTGACATTTATGTAGGGTAAGCTGGCATGGTATCTAAGCCCAGAAGGTAGAGAGAAATAGAGATTAAATCAATATATTGTTTTGCCTGGCACATTTATTACCAGCAGTGTTATGGGAGCCACAGCAATATGGTTGCTCTCATGCCACTCCTGGTAACATCTGAAGGAGGTCAAAGATGTGGGCCCAGCTTAGAATGTAGTTGTTGTGATGTCACATCCCCACCAAGATTCTCCCTCCCCCCAAAAAAATTCTGCCAGGCACTGCCCCCAAATCTCCAGGAGTTTCCTGCACAATCATCAGACAGAAGCCTGTATCCAACTGCATGGTACAAAGCTGAACTATAGGTATCCATAAGTGCCTGATCCTGCTCTCTCTTTCCCAGCACTGGAGAAATGTACAGAGCAGCTACAAACCTATTATAGTAGCAATATCCACAGTTCTGCCTCCACAGCTTTCTGGCGTGGCATGAAACGTGACCATCACAATTCCATTGTTTTGTTTCTGCAAGGAGAAGGACAAAAGGAGTAGCTCCTGAACTAAGCGGAGATCGCACCACGTAACTGTCGTTGCTGTTACAGTTCTTAGCAGCTACTCAGTCGGACTTTACATTAACGTGTCCCAAGCTGGACCTCTTGCATTTCAGCGCCTTTTGATCCAAGTGGCTGAGTGGCCAATGAACACCGGGGCCACAGCATCCTCCCTCTTGACTCAAGGGTATGTGCAATAGGGAGAGAGGGTGTCAGTCACGTGGGATCCTTGGGCGTAGCCCACTGTATTTAACCTTTTTAAATGTTTTATTGTGCTTTTATTGCACTGTGTGCCTTTATTGTGGAACTACGGTGCTGCATTGCACCCGTATATTGTAAGCCGCCCTGAGCCGGCGTGCGGGGAGGGCGGGGTATAAATAAAATAAAATAAATAAATAAGTGTCTACAATTCATATACCTATACATATCTTCCAGCTGAGGACACACTTCATGAATCTGATGAAGGAGACTCTAATCTAATCCACAAAACTTCTGCCATGATAACTGTGCAACCCGGTGCAGAGTTACTCTGGTCTTAACCCACTGAAATGACTGGGCTTGCACTGGAATGACAGAATAAAACAGAAGTCAGGCATAGGGGTGCCAGCCTCAAGGTGGGGACCTGATGATCCCCTGGAATTACAGCTCATCTCCAGACTACAGAGATCAGTTCCCCTGGAGAGTGGACTTTATGGTCTTGTACCCACTGAGGCCCCTGTCCTCATCAGCCTCCATCTCCAAATACCCAGGGGTTTCCCAGCCTGGATCTAGCAACCCTAACCCCCCCCATCCGCCCCCCCCAGTGGCCAGGGGACACTTGGCAACCCTAGTCCTGTGGCATCTTAAAGACTAACAATATTTACTGCAGCCTGAGCTGGAATGGGTACTGTTAGTCTTTAAGGTTCCGTGCACCTTGTGTTTAGTCATGCCGGCCACATGACCACGGAAATGTCCTCGGACAGCGCTGGCTCTTCGGCTTTGAAACGGAGATGAGCACCGCAACCCTAGAGTCAGATTCGACTGGCTTTCGAGCAAGGGAACCTTTACCTTTAAGGTGCCATTGGACTTTTGTTTTATTTTGCTACAGTAGGCTAACACAGCTATGCCTCTGGAATTATCACCAGAGTAACTGTGCAGGATTGCACTGACAGCTTTTCTGTTTTGCTGCAACAAAATAACATGGCTAATACTCTGGAATTTGTCAAATATAATAGGCTGTTGTGTGCCTGGTGTTAAATACTGAATAGCATTATATGCAATTATCACACTGTCACATAGTGAATATGGGACTCAAACGTCACGAGGTGTCAAAATATGTTTAGCCGATATTTGAATATTCAGAGTACGTTCAAGAGCAAATTTCATAGATAAGAATTATTTAGGAGCAAGTTTCAGCTCTCAAATGATGTTGACTCCAGTGTTTAGAAAAGGCTGTTTACATCCGGGCAGGGAAGGCACATCAACAGGAACACTGCAGCCAGCATCACCATTTTAGCTGCGCTTTTGTTTGCTTTTCCTGCCTCGGGTATATTATATTTTGGGTGTGGTCATGAGGCATGAGATGAAGACCAAGAGCAAAAGGGCCCTTAGCCTTGGCTCTCTTAGCCTGTGGCTTGCACCAGGTCAGGCAGGGTTGCCAGGTCCCTTGGAGATGCCGGTGGGGGGATGGGGGGATGTTCTGGGAGCCAGAAGTGTCCCCCTCGATGTGCCGGCATCACCAGAAGTGACATTGCATGCCATGCCTATGTCACCCAGAAGTGATATAGGCACGTCAGTGACGTCAGGGTCGATACTCTAGTTTTTGGGCAAAACTCTATGGTAAAATCGGCCTCAAACCATAGAGTTTTGCCCAAAAACCAAAGCATACCCCTCAACATCCCTTATGTGCCTACACTTCCAGATGACGTAGGCATGGCACGCAGTGTTGCTGTTGGGAGAGGATTTCCTCCTGCTGGCCAATTGGTCGGTGGCGGGCAGGAGGCCAAAAAAACTGGGGGAACCCCTGCCAAAGTGGGAGACCTGGCAACCCTAGTTGCCAGCTCTGGTTTGAAAATCTCTGTATTTATTTCTTGTAAGCCATTATGAGTCCTGTTATGGAGAAAAGTAGCCAAGAAATATACTGACTCTGGGCACTGTTGGAATTGGTCCAAAGAGGGACCATTTCCTCCCACTGAATTCACAATGGAAGAGGGGACTTTATAGCCTAGCCCTCTGTTGTGATCCTCTTTTGCACAGTTTCTCATAGGTTAGAAAGATAAACAAGACCCACCAGACGCTGCAAAATATCATCAGGAATGTTTCTTGAGTGTTGGCAAACCGTAAGGGCTAACGAATGGGTGAAAATGACTGGTGCTTTGGAGATTCCAAGGACTTTCATGGCAGTTGCCTGAGAGGCGTGCGATAAATCTATCATCATTCCCAGGCGATTCATCTCTTTCACCACTTTCTAGCACAACAAGGACAGATAAGAACATAAGAGTTCCACTGAAGCAGATCAGTCTAGCATCTTGTTTCACACTGCAGTCAGCCAGTTGCCCTGGAGGGCCAACGAACAGGACACAGATGTCAAGGCCATCCCCTGACATTGCCTTTTAGTACTGGGATTCAGAGGTTTACTGCCTCTGAATTTGGAGGGTCCATTTAGGAACCATTGCTGGACCACTCTTCCATGAATCTGTCTAATCCTTTGAGCACCATCCATGCCCGTGGTCATCACTGCACCCCCTGGCATGAATTCCACAATTTAATAATCCATTGAGTAAAGAAGTATTTTGCTTTATCCCATCCTGAATCTATTGCCCATCAAAAAGGGAGGTGGTGGGCTCTCCTTCTTTGGAGGTTTTCAAACAGAGGCTAGATGGCCATCTGACAACAATGATGATTGTGTGAACTTAGGCAGATCATGAGAGGGTGGGCAGGAAGGGCTGCATCAGTACTTAGTTCTTGTGGCCCTTTCTCACACACCCAGGGAAACGCTGAGTGCCACTTTGGGGTCAGGAAGCAATTTTTCTCCAGGCCAGTTTGGCCGGAGATCCTGGAGGGTTTTTTGTTTTTGTCATCTTCTGAATGTGGAACAGCAGTCACTGGGGGTGTGTGGGGGGGAGGTATTTGTGAATTTCCTGCATTGTGCAGGGGGTTGGACTAGATGGCCCTGGAGGTCCCTTCCAACTCTATGATTCTATTTACGTAACGGGCCACCTCTCCACACACATTCTACCAGATGGCCTCATCAGTTTTGTTCCTTTGGCCAAACGTAAGGCTTAACATGCCTTCCATTAAAACACCTTCTCAGGTATGGATGTTGTCCTTTTCAACTTGCAGACTGGAAGTCGTGGGAAGGGGAGCGGTGGGGAGGAGGGCAGAGCAGCAGAGCAGGAGGCCCCAGTGACAGGGAGGGGCCGGGCAAGCAGAGTGGCCGGGGAGGTGGCAGCGGGTGAGCAGAGTGGCAGGGAAGCAGATGGCCTGGAGGTCAGAGTCTGAAGAAGGGGGGCAAAAAAGCAGAGTGGATTCCTCCTCCTCCTCCTCCTCTACACTTTCTCTCAGGACCTTCTGAGGGAGGAGTGGGGGATGAGACCAAAGGTGAAAGAGTGAGTGAGCTCTGGGGGGAAGGATGGAACCCCACCACCAGGGCTATTTTGGGCAGGAACACACAGGAACGGAGTTCCGGCTGGCTCTTGAGTTGGCCACACCCAGCAGGAACTCATTAGCATAATAGGCCACACCCAACATCAGAAACTCATTAGGACTGGCTACATTAGGGGGGTGTGGCCTAACATGCAAAGGAGTTCCTGCTCCAAAAAAAGCCCTGGGTTTTGAAAACAAGATAGAATAAGAAGCAAAAGGTGGGTCTGGCTGGATGACCACACTTCTGGTAACATGGGGGTGCGGCCTAATATGCTAATGGGCTGTGCTGTCAAGGGTGTGGCCTAATATGCTAATGAGTTCCTGCTGGGCTTTTTCTACAAAAAGAGCCCTGCCCACCACCACCAGTCTCCTGGGTCCCTGCTTGTATAAAAAATATTTGATTGTTGCAGGAGGTTAGATTCTTTGTTTGGATGCTAATCAGAAGTGAATATGTTTAAAAGGTATATTTTTACTTACTGAGCCAAAGGAGCCCAAGCCACTAACGGCGGAATACAAGTGGTCCTCTGATTCTACTGATGACTGTGCCCTAAAAAAGAAACAGCATCCAATTATTCACACAGGCAAGATCTAAGAAGAATCATAAGGTGGACCTATTATGCATGGATGCCTATTATGTACTATGTCCTATTATGCACGGGTCAAAAAAAGTCTGGTCAGTTTCAACATCGGGTTTCCCCCCTTTACCCATTTTCATTTCTGTTCCCTTTCATTCAATGACTAAAATGCATGCACAAAACCTGAACCACGAGGATTTAAATGGAAGGCGCTTACTGGACGCTACTGTGCAGCTGCGATAGGGCGGTTGTGAGTTGTGAATTAAAAAAAAAACTTTTGGACACCACTGATCGTAGCTGCACAATAGATACACCAGAGGAAAAAGAATCGCGCATAAGGTGGGCACAGAATCCGAAGTCAAGATTAAACGCTTACTGCTCTGAAAATCTGCATTAAGGTGTGTGTGCATGATGGGCCTATGAGGACAAAACAGGAAATTTGCCACAGAAACTGTACTCATGAGGGACTAACTACTTGTCATGTTTTCCCATGTCCTTGTGATCAGAAGTGCCTTGTGAGTCCCATGCTGAGAAATCAGCTCCTAAGTGTGCTGGGACTACCTTTGGACTGGGACCCCTCCAGCTTGAAAACACTGTGACAGAAGTTCAGAATCTGCAAAGATGAGTTGTATGAGTTAGGATTTTGTAGATTCTCAAAGTACACAAGGGAAATGGGCTTTAGTCTCTCCCATGCTGTTCTTCTAACCTGAAATGGCCCTGGGGGAACTATTTGCGGCATTCAGGAAACCTAGGGGTCCTCTATTAATATATGTGGAGCCCCCAATGAGGTAGACAGTGTAGTGTCAGCTAATTCCAAAGTGCTACTGCTTTGAAGAAGAAAAAGATGAGGACTATCCACTTGGAGGAGTTACCAGGGTGTGTTGCATTCATTTGTTAGTCCCATGTATCGGACGCCCAGTTCATAATACATCCGCAGAGTCGCAAGACTGCTGTCGATGGAGTGACCCCCATGGATGCCCATCAAGCAGGCTATCTTATTGTCTGGAGTGTTCTCAATGCCTGGATTTAAAAAGTTCAAACGCAAAGTTCAAAAGATACGCTATGGCAGAATAACATGAATGCAACATCTACCTATGGAATGAATAAGGTTGCATGACAGTCATTCCCTCTTAACAAGGTCCTCGGTAGTTAACGCTCTGTGAAAGTGTTGACCAAAATCCTTAGCACCTTGCCAGCAGCAAATCTGAGAAAAGACCCAGGATTGCAGGGGGAAAGTGAAATCTAACCCCCCCCCCATAATAGAAACATCACCAGTACTTTTAAGAAGTGAATGTCCCCTGAGATCTCAGTGGCTGTTGGGGGGGTTCTTAGGCAACTACTACAGTATTGCCAGCCTTCAAACCTTGGCTTCTCTCAGTAAAAGACAGGGGGAGTGCCCTTTTCAGAGAAGTTCCCATTTCCTTTCTGACCTGGAGGGAGGACTCATTGGGGCCAGCCCCAGCAGCGACCATTGGACAACTTGTGTGTGTGTAAAGTGCCATCAAGTCACAGATGACTTATGGTGACCCCAGCAAGGGGCTTTCAAGGCAAGTGAGAAGCAGAGGTGGTTTGCCATGGCCTGCCTCTGCAGAGCTGTCCTTGGTGGTTTCCCATCCAAGTATCAATCCTGCTTAGCTTCTGAGATCAGACTAATACCATGCTGACTTCCCCCCACTGGGAAACTTACTACCATGCAATTTTCACAATTCATCCAGGTGTGGCAGTGACTACAACTGGGAGGGCAGATCCAAGAAAGGTTGGTTGTGAGTGGGAAGGAAAACTATCGGGGCTGTCAGGAGGAGAGAAGGAGGAAATAGCATGGGGAGGGTGACACAGGCCCTTGTGGGTTATCCTCAGGTCCTTGTGGGTTACCCACTTGTCAAACCATATTTCCCAGGATTCTTTGGAGAATGAATTACAACTATCTGTCCCTTATATATAAAGCCATAGTGGGGCCCAACGTTCTAATGCACACCAACAGTGTTTGGAGGCTTGAACTGTCAGTCAGAAGACGCTGGCTGGGTTGGCTGGCTGCTTTGTGTAGTCCCGCCCACGTCAGCCAATAGAGCATCTGCTCAGGAGTTGCCCGTTTGATCAGTTACTGTTTTCTTTGCTGCACTGCTGGAGGATTTTTTTTTAGCCCTCAAAAAGCCCTCCAGTGGCACGCTGGGGCAATGGCAGCTGCAAGTGGCTGACGGGGAAAATGGCACAGATGTGGATGGAACTTGCAACTTCAGACTGGGGAATTCCTGGAGATCTGGAGGTGGAACCTAAGAAGGGTGGAGTTTGAGGTGGGGAGGGACCTCAGCAGGGTACAATGCCATAGAACCAGCCCTCGGACAGTAGCCATTTTCTCCAGGGGAACTGATCTCTGTAACCTGGAGATCACCTGTCATTCCAGGAGATCTCCAGGTCCTGCCTTGAGGCTGGTAACCAATGTTCCCTCTAAGCCGTGGAGTCTTGTGAGCAAAAATTCTTCTTTGTGAGCTACTGGCATTAAAGTTGTGAGCAAGCAATTTGGCTACTACATAAATCAGTTTCCTCTAGAGCCATCCTTCCTGAGCTGAAACAAAAACGTGTGAGCTGAAGGCTAAAAAATGGTGAGCTAGCTCACACTAACTCAGCTTAGAGGGAACACTGCTGGTAACCCTAATGGAATTGTTGGAAATGGGCTCAAACACTGCGGACTGTGTTCTTTCTGAAAAGAACTAAACCAAGCTTGAGAAAGAGCATTGTACTAAACCAGGTTTGAGACAGAGCATGCTGAAGACAGAGAAAACCTAGAGAAACGATGATTAGAGGACAGCATCATATGAATGGTCCCCAAAACAACACTCCAGTTTGGAAGCTAAGACAGAGGAAAATGGCCATTTATTCATTTATTTTATTTCTCATAGTTCAACCCCGCCCTCCCAGCCGAAGCCAGCTCAGGGCGGCTTACACAAAATCAATGTACAATTGCAGTAAAAACAATTGAACCATTTTAAAACAATATTAAAACCAATTAACAATAACATAATAAGTGCTAGTATTGTTGTTATTGAATCAAAGATGGCTACCATGTCAGCTCTCTCTTTCTATAGCTGGCTCGTAGGTCTTCTGCAGCTGTCTTTCAGGTGGCTGGCACAGACTGTTAATACAAATCCCAGAGGCAACAGGGCCTCCTATCCAGAGGTCATTTCGGGGGGGATCGCGGGGGAGGCAGGAGAAGAGGGAGGGTAAGTTGCTTCCTCCCTGCCTCTCCCCACCCCTGCCTGCCTGGGGCCAGGGAGGGCCTTCGCGGGGCTTCCTTGCACTCCCGCCAGCCTTGCAGGTCCACCGCCGGGCCCCTCATGGGGCTCGGCAGTGGAGCTGCAAGGCCGGTGGCGGCGGCCGGGACCGTTGGGGGCGGGGTGTGTGGCCTTATGACACACTTCCGGTGATGTCAGGGGGTGTGGCATATGCTAATGAGTTA